TAAAAAATAGTGATATATTATTCAATAAAATCTCACAATCAAACCACGTTTGTTGTTCTATTGAACAAACATTCTATTATAAATACTTTATTGTGATATATAATAAATAACATAATAAACACTATTAAGACTTACTTCAACAAGGATCTTGCCATAACCTTCTTCCTTTATAACATTATGGTCTATGCATCAGTATAGTGACCACCAATGACCTATTCTAATGCACAACAGTGGTGAAACAGGTAAAATCCAGTTTAAGTTATTGTTCATTCTCTTAGAAGTTGACCAATTTGTAAAATAGTAAGCTTTTAAATCCAGTTTAAGTTATTGTTCATTCTCTTAAAAGCTGACCAATCTTTGTAAAATAGTAAGCTTTTGATTCACCTTATGAAGATTATTGAATACATAAGTAGCTTAGTCTCTATTTCTGTTTTATATATTTGACTGGCAGCTGTAAGTTTCAGTGTGCCCAAATCTGTAATAGCAGGTTACCCTTAATGATGTATATAAAGCATCAAGGAGTCTTTTGTAACTAATAGAAAATAGAATAACAGAATTTTGTTACAAGATGAAAACACTTCTCTTCTCTACTCTTCTTTCTAATATGGTATCAGATTGCTGAGTCGATCCATGGCTACGATCACTTCGCCATCGCCTCCGTCTTCCGCTAGGGTTTCGCCTGAACCAACGTCGTTTCCGTCGCTGATGGTGGATGATTCTCGCCGCTTTCACTTCTCGCTCAAGATTGCGCATAAGCTGGATGAAAATAACTTCCATCTCTGGCGTCAACACGTAGAACCTTACATTAATGCGCATGATCTCACAGATCTGGTGGTATGCGTTCGTGTTCCAGCAAAATTTGTTGATGATGTCGCTCGTCGTTCTGGCTCTGTCAATCAAGCGTATTCTCGCTGGATTGAGAAGGACCAATTGTTGTTGTCTTGGCTTCAATCTACACTTTCCAGTGAAATTCTCTCACGCGTGCTTGGCTGTAACCACTCTCATGAACTGTGGGATCGTCTCTTCAGCTATTTTCATAAACAAACTCGTGCTAGGGCATGCCACCTGCGTGTTGAATTGCGTCCTCTTACACTTGACACTCTTTCTGTTCAAGACTATTTGCTAAAGATCCGTACCATTGTTGATGCGCTTGCATCCATTGGTGATCCAATTCCTGTGTCCCGTCACATTGATGTGATTCTTGAGGGCTTGCCTACTGAATTTGCTCCGGCTGTGTCTGTTGTTGAAATAAAATTTGGAGTTATGGACATTGATGAGGTTGAAATTCTGCTATTAGCTCATGAGCTGCGCTTGAACAAGTTCAAGAAGTAGCCAATTCCAGATTTGGTTTCTCTCAACCTAACTCATGTTGTGCCTCAACCACCAACAACAGATGAGTCTCCAGCACTTGTCACTGATTCTTCCTCTGCTCACACTGGTCACTCTAATCAAGTGCAGGATCATCAACCTTTTAGAGGTGGAAAAGATCATCGTGGTGGTAGGTTTGACCGTAGCAGAGGTGACAGATTCTCCAATTCTAATATCCAGTGCCAAGTTTGCTCCAAACCTGGTCATTCTGCCCTACAGTGCTGGCACAGGTTTAACTACCAGTTCCAATCTTCTAATGCGAACCATGTGCAACCTCAATGGCAGGGTGCTCATGCCTATTACACTCAAGCACCACCTCAAGCCTTTCCTTATGTGTGGTCCAGGCCCCTTGTTGTGCCTTCTTATCCTCCTACCGTTACAAAACCTCTAAGCACCTTTGTGGCAAATGCTTCCCCATCTCCATTTGGCTCCTGGTTTCCTAATTCTGGCGCCTCATACCATGTCACTAGTGATGCAAAGAATTTACAACTTGTGACTTCTTTTGAAGGCCATGATCAAATTTACATTGGTAATGGACAAGATTTGACTATTCAGTCTGTTGGTTCAAGCTCTTTTCCTTCACCTTTTCATCCTACAACACACCTCACTCTCAAGAACTTACTTCATGTTCCTGCTATCACTAAGAACCTGTTTAGTGTCAGTCAGTTTTCTAAGGATAATCATGTGTACTTTTTATTCTCAACTGACAAGTGTCTTGTTAAATGCCAGGTGTCTGATGCCACTCTTCTTGAAGGTCATGTAGGAGCTGATGGACTCTATGATTTCCCTTTATTGATGTATCACAATCTGCTAAGTCCTTGTTGCATTCTACTAATTTTTCCTCCAATAATGCTGCACCTAGTGCTAATACTGTTTCTCTTTCTAATAGCTTGCCTTACATGTGGCATCTTGGGTTAGGACACCCTAACAATCATGCTCTCAAGCTTGTTTTGCAAAATTGTAATGTTCAGTTCAGTAATAGAACTTGTGATATGTTCTGTTCTGTTTGTTGTATGGGTAAATCCCACAGGTTACATGCTCCCACTTTACACACAATTTACACAAAACCCCTTAAACTTGTTTATACTGGCCTATGGGAGCCCTCACCCAAGGCCTCTGCATCTGGTTTCTTGTATTACATGTCCTTTGTGGATGTTTATTCCAAGTTTACTTGGATCTATCTTCTTAAAGCTAAGTCTGAAGCCATTTTTGTTTTTCAAAAGTTTAAAGCGTTAGTTGAACTGTAACATGAGTCATGTATTAAAGTTGTTCAGTCTGACTGGGGGGTGAATTCAGGACATTTACTAAATATCTAACTGAGATGGATATTAACCATCGTCTTATCTGTCCACATACACACCACCAGAATGGTGTCATTGAAAGAAAACACAGACACATAATGGACTTAGGGCTTACTTTGCTTACTTAGTCAGGCTTCCCTTCCCATAACATATTGGGACTATGCCTTCTCCACTGTTGTATATCTTATTAACAGGATGCCATCTGCTTCTATTCATTTTGAGGTTCCTTACACTCTTTTATTCTATCAACAGCCTGATTACAAGTTTCTGAAAGTTTTTGGATGTGCTTGTTTTCCTCTCTTGAGACCTTATCTTTCTCAGAAACTTAACTTCAGACCTCAAAAATGCCTCTTTCTTGGATATTCCACCTCTCACAAAGGCTATAGGTGTCTGGCTCCTAATGGCAGGTTATACATCTCAAAGGATATTTTATTTAATGAGTCTAGGTTTCCATATCAAGATTTATTTTCTTCCAGACCCAGTGTTACTTCCAGCCCCAGTACATCCTTGGCACCCCATTACTCTAGCCCCCTTTTGAGTGCTTTTACTCCTCACATCACTTCTTCGCAATCTCTTATCCTTAATTCTTCAAATGATCTCCAACCTGCCTCTCCCACTACCTCATTTGTTCATGCTCCCACCTCTATCCCTTCTAGCCCTAAGGATTCATCACCAGCTGGTAGTTCTGCAGCTCCTTCACCTACTACTGCCAGCAACTCCTCAGGGACACTCTCATCCTTCTCTAATCTAGTTGACCCTTTATTCAGCTCATCTTCAGACACTGGTTTTGAACTACATGTGCCCTCTAATGTTATTTTTGTGTCTGTTATCCCATCCTATGATAACTAGGGTCAAATCTGGTTTCTCTCAGCCTAGACTAGATCCTAGGGTGCTTCTTACTCACTCTGAGCCTAAATCTGTTAAACAGGCTCTTGCTGATTTGCATTGGAAGGCAGCCATGCAAGATGAATTTGATGCCTTACAGAAAAATGTCACATGGTCTCTTGTCCTTTACCCCCCAACAAGAATGTTATTGGCTGCAAGTGGGTATTTAGGCTCAATGAAAATCCTGATGGCACCATCAACAGGTACAAGGCTAGGTTGGTAGCCAAAGGTTTTCATCAGAGGCATGGGTTGGATTTTACTGAGACCTTTTCACCTGTTGTGAAGCCTGTTATTATCAGGATCATTCTCACTATTGCCATTACCCACAGGTGGTCTATTCAGCAGTTGGATGTAAATAATATCTTTCTTAATGGACTCCTTGCTGAAGAAGTTTACATGGAACAGCCTCCAGGGTTTGTTCACTCTGATTCCTGTCTGGTGTGTAAACTTAACAAGGTTGTGTATGGCCTGAAACATGCTCCAAGGCAGTGGTTTGAGAGACTGTAATCAACTCTTCTCAAGCTCAACTTTAAAGCCAGCAAGTGTGACCCCTCTCTCTTCACCTACTTCTCAAAAGGGAACTCTCTTTATCTACTTGTTTATGTAGATGATATTATCCTCACACGCAGTTCTACTGCTCTTCTCAATGAGGTAATTCACAAGCTTAATTCTACTTTCTCTCTCAAACACCTTGGAGATCTTGACTATTTTCTGGGCATTGAGGTCAAGCAGTCAGCTATTTGACTGACAGCTGTAAGTTTCAATGTGCCCAAAACTGTAATAGCAGGTTACCTTTGATGCTGTATATAAAACATCAAGGAGTCTTTTGTAACTAACGGAAAATAGAATAACAGAATTCTGTTACAAGATGAAAACACTTCTCTTCTCTACTCTTCTTTCTAATAAAGATGAACCCTTTTTTGAACTACTTGCAAAATATAGAACACATGCATGGGTGTAAAATTCATGTAAGTGATCCAAGTATTACAATCATGCATGGAAGATCTAGAGAAACTCCATAGCATTTTTTCAAAGTTTGTGCATTAATTAATTGGAAGGCTTGAGTCATTAGTTCGTCCCTTCGACACTTTTATACAATAGCGGCAAAACTCAGTGTATTGAGAAATGAAAACATTTAACACTGAAATAACTTACGAAACACTTGAGCTATTTTCAATTTATTTTTCATAAACTTTATCTAATAGCTTCTCAGAATTCAAAGCTTGTGTGAAATTTAGCTTCAAAAGCTCATCAAACCAACTTAACTTATACATGAACCTTATGCGATAAACGCTTGTTCAATAAGCATTTATTTAAATTATTTATCCAAACACACCTGACATCACACTCACCATAGATAACACAAGAACTCTATCTCATGGACTGAATTCCAAATCAGTCACTAGCCTAATCTACTTACCGTTTTCCATTTAGTTATGATTAGATTCAATCTTTAGATTCATCTTCTTTCCATTCTACTATTGCCAAAGTATGGCGACCGCCACACGCAACGATTTTGGCTATCCAAGTTCCCTCGGCTTCACCGTCACTGAGATTCTGTGGAGGAGGGATGTCTATAGGCACCTCCACCGGTTGACCAGTAGTGACTTTCCTCCCATATCCAAGACGCCCATGATCACCTCTACCAAACTGCCATTAGTTCCATCAAAATTAGTTAGAAAAACGGACAAATGAGCACCTTAATGTCTGTATGCACACTAACCAATATAACGAAGTTGCAACTGAATATAGCAAAGAAAACTGAGATGGTAAGAAAACTACATACAGAAAATATGCGCCCATCTCGGGATAGTGCAACTGAATGAGTACCTCCACAAGACACCTGACCACAAGCCAATAAACAGATATTTCAGCAATATAAACTAACTATAAATATGCAATTCAATGGAAGCTATTTGTGAAGGCGAAAACATTTCCACTTTGAAAGTGACTATTGTTTCCTAGCCATGATATCTATGCTAAATACTTTGGAATCGGATTCCCTCCAGTGGGAAAAGCAAGCATTTACAGAGTTTTCGATCTCAGTTGTTAATCTCAGATCAAAGGATTCAGTTCACAAAATAACATTTGAAGTGATTTCGACTGTTAATTTAAGATCCGACATTTGAAATCAAAAATTATGTGACGTAGTTACGGCACTAAATCAAAATCACATACTTTGATTAAAAACTGGTCATTGATCTAACTACTTTAACTACTTTCTCATTATGTGAAAAGTTAGTTACAAAAGTATAACAGATTGCTTTTTATATCTGCAACCTGTGACCTGCAGTAGCAGGTAATAGCTAATGACGCCTTGACAGGTGTCAGTTACACAACTTATCTAAGCTAGTAAGTACATCTAATAGAGTGGATAGTTACAGAGATAATACCTGAACAATATCTTGGCCGGCTAAAAGTTGAACCCTCTGAGGTAACATTTTACTGCTCTTATCACTATCACCAAATCCAAGTCTGCCATGTTCTCCCCTTCCCCAGCCATAAACCTAAAACAAAAACGAGAGCAAAGATATCATTACAGTTTACTCTCATTGGAGAAACGCCCCCATGGAAGAAAAAAGATCCACTAAAATCTTTGGAACTCAATTTTCTGATTCCATGCATATCGCAAGATATTTTTATTTTTTATTTTGATTAGCAGGAATCAAACTCAATACTCCAAGATTCACAACACACACTGCACCAACCACTGCAAGATATTAGTTTCAGAAGAATAAATAGAACGCAAAAATTTGAATGGATTGTAAAAAATTGTCAAAGCGCTTCAAATATTTGACATAGATTTCTCGAAAGTAAAATTTAAACATAATAGAATCCAGAAAAACAGAAACAGCACCTCTCCTTCATCTGTCAACGCAGTAGAGTGCCATCCACCAGCTGCAATATCTATCTAGAGTTTCAAAAAGATTAAGAAAATATATGAGACAATCTATTTTGTATATGAATGAATGAACAACAAAAAAAAGAAAGATCTAATGTATCTTCTGTAACACGTACTTCATGCCAATACTACTAAAATTCCATTATTCTAAGTATCCTTTTGTTCCTACTTCCCCCTCTAAAATCCCTATAGTTTCTGTTACCTTATTATTAATATTATTATTAATTGTTATTTGCTATATGTAGGGAGTCAAGTATGACTTTGTGGCCCTGATTCTTAGGAAACATTCAGTTCAGTTTTCTTTTTGTAAACTATTTATATAGCAGTATTTCATTCTAATAAACAAGTCAGTTACCAGATTTGCTAACATCTGGTATCAGAGCGAGAAAGACTTCAAAAGTGTGAGGGATCCAAAAGTGTGAGAGTACCACAAAATAGAGTGTTTGGGGTATGGGATCCAAAGAGAAGAATGGTGGATTTTCTGTACCTCCCATTACCAGATTCGATGGAGATTACGATCATTGGAAGATGGTCATGGAAAATCTCTTGAGATCCAGAGAATATTGGCCCGTGGTGGAGAACGGTTACATGCTGCCCAAAGAAGGAGAAGTGGAGACAGATGCGTAGAGGAAGACCCTGGATGAATTGAAACTTAAGGATTTGAAGGCAAAGAATTATTTGTTCCAATCCTTGGACAAATCAATTCTGAGAACCATCACCAAGAAGGACACCTCCAAGCAGTTGTGGGACTCCATGAAGATGAAGTACCAAGGAAATGATCGGGTCCAACGTGCTCAGCTCAATCGGCTCCGACGAGAATTCGAGGTGTTGGCTATGAAACAAGGGGAGTCAGTCAATGACTACTTCGGCAGGGTGATGACCATAGCCAATGACATGCGAAATTGCGGTGAAGACATGACAGATGTCAAAATCATAGAGAAAATTCTGCGAACACTGACGGAGAAATGGAATTACATTGTGTGTTCCATTGAGGAAGCTAATGATGTTGATGAGCTCACAGTTGATGCCTTGCAAAGTTCCCTCTTGGTCCATGAACAAAAGTTCAAGAGGGAACCAAATGAAGAACAAGCGCTGGCGGTTTCTTATGGTGACACCGGTGGTCGAGGGCGAGGGAGAAACAGCTTCAGAGGAGGAAGAGGCCGTGGACGAGGCCGTCAAAGCTACAACAAAGCAACAATTGAATGTTACAAATGCCACCAATTAGGGCATTTTCAATATGAATGCCCTAATCTCGAGAAGACGGTTAATTATGCTGAGATGAGCAAGGATGAAGAGATGCTTCTTATGGCTTATATTGAAGCATCAGGGGAAAAAGGAGAGACTGCATGGTTCTTAGACAGCGGGTGCAGCAACCACATGAGCGGAGATATCTCTCTCTTTTGTACCACGGAGGAAGGGTTCAAAAGAGAAGTCAGTCTAGGGAACCATATGAAGATGAAGGTTGTGGGCAAAGGGAGTGTTAGGTTAAATCTTGGTGGTGTTTGTTATGTTGTTCAAGAAGTGTTCTATATTCCAGAATTGAAGAACAATTTACTAAGTATCGGACAGTTGCAGGAGAAAGGCTTGGCCTTTCTAATCAAGAACAATGAGTGCAGATCTATCATCCATTAAAGGGCCTTATCCTTGAAAGCAGAATGACACTCAACAGAATGTTCATATTGCTCTCGAAGACCTCCTCGGCTAGCAATGAGTCAAGTGAATGCTGCTTCCAAACTGACATCCAAGAAATTGCTCATCTATGGCACTGCAGGTATGGCCACCTTAGCTATACTGGACTTCAAACTTTGATAAGCAACAACGTGGTTAAAGGCTTGCCAAATCTTGGAGAAATCATTGCTGCTAGAGAAACTACTGTTGTATGCATTGAGTGTTTGAAAGGAAAACAACACAGGGAGATCATACCAAGAAAAGCCATGTGGAGAGCTGAAGCTCGATTGGAGCTTATACATGCCGACATATGTGGTCCCATCTCGCCAATGTCACATGGTCAAAAAAGGTACCTCATCTGTTTCATTGACGACTTTAGTAGGAAGGCTTGGGTATATTTTATTGCTTATAAGAGTGATGCATTTTCTACATTCAAGCAATTTAAAAGTCGGGTAGAAAGGGAGTCCGGTTTATTTGTGAAATGCTTGAGAACTGATCGCGGAGGTGAGTTTACCTCACGTGAGTTTACTGATTATTGTAGACAAGAAGGGATAAAAAGACAGCTCACCACAGCCTACATGCCACAACAAAACGGAGTTGCCGAAAGAAAAAATCGAATTGTCATGAACATGGCCAGAAGTTTACTTGTCGAGAAGGAAGTGCCTAAGATTTTCTGGCCTGAAGCGGTTAATTGGGCATTCCATGTGCTTAACAGGAGCCCCCCACCTCTGCCGTAAAAGGAATGACTCCTGAAGAGGCCTGGTCTGGAGCGAAGCCCAAAGTCGAGCACTTCAGAGTTTTTGGTTGCATTGCTCATGTCCACATTCCAGATGCTCGAAGAGTCAAGCTTGACGACAAGAGCACTAAATGTGTTTTATTTGGAGTAAGTGTTGAGTCGAAGGGATATAGGTTATATGATCCCATTAAAAGAAAGATCTTTGTTAGCAGGGATGTCGTGTTTGAAGAAAATAAGAAATGGAATTGGAATACAAGTCACTCAGAGTTCAATAAAGATCAGCTTGATTGTGGAGATATGGATACTACTATTGTTGACCAAGAGAGTGATACAGTGAAAGATCAATCAGAGAATAAAGAAGCCATCGAGTACAGTGGAGATACAAGTCACTCAACAACTGAGAATGAGGAGCTGGGACTGATATTGCTACTGAGGATGATAATGTAGTAGCTACAACAGAAAAATCTGCAGCAGTAGGCCAACGTAGCAGAAGAGCTCCAATGTGGATGGAGGATTATGTGGTGAACTATGTTGTCTCAAACTCTGATGTGGCAGCAAGTTTTAACCCCCAATCGTTTGAGGAAGCTGTGCTAAATACCAACTGGAAGAAAGCCATGGATGCTGAAATTCAGTCCATCGAAAAGAATGGAACCTGGACTCTAGTTGAATTACCAAAGGGAGTCGCAAGCATGGGTCAAATGGGTGTATAAAATAAAATTGAATCAACATGGTGAGATTGACAAGTATAAGGCTCGCTTAGTAGCAAAGTATTGGCTCTTGCTGCAAAACGAAGTTGGATTGTGTATCAGCTGGACATGAAGTCCGCATTCTTACAAGGTGAACTTACGGAGGAGGTGTATGTTGATCAACCAAAAGGATATGAAGTGAAGCATGAGACCACTAAGGTATACAAGCTCCATAAAGCTTTATACGGCCTTAAACAAGCACCGAGAGCTTGGTTTAGCAGAATTGAAGCATATTTCAGAAACATGGGCTTTGATAAAGAAGCAAGCGAACAAACCTTGTTCACCAAGATCAATCAACAAGGGAAGCATTTGATTGTTAGCCTATATGTTGATGATTTGATTTATACTGGGAATAATGAAGCTATGTTGAAAGAATTTGTTGATATTTGTAAATATATAATGTTAAGAATATTTGTATGTAGAATAGTCTCACATCGATTATATCGTGTAATTAATTATAATCTCTCTATATATAATAAAGTCTCCATAATGCTTTCAAAACACACGGTTTAACCTAAATGTCTTAGTCTCTCCTAATTCAATATGGTATCTAGAGCCTTCTAAGAGTCAATTCTTCGTCGTGTTTTACCCGGTTGACCCTATTGTCTTCCGGTGAGAAATTTTCTTCTACAAACCATGTCATCATTCCGGTTTGCCTCACCTTTTTTTTTTAAAAATTTTCCAGCGACCTCCGTCAAGCACAGCCCACGGGAAAAAAAATTCGGGGGACTACTGTTCACCGCCGCTGTCACTATTCACCGACGTCGTACTGTTCACCGCCGACGCCACTGTTCATCGGTGCCGCTACTGTTCACGAAAAAAAAAATTTTACCGGAAAATTGCCTTCCTCCTCTGGTTCCAGATCCGCCCTCAGTTTCCCCGTTTTTGACTCACAAAAAGTCGTACTTTTGTTCAAACAGTCCCAGTTGTTGTATTTTAAGCCATGGGAGATGCTGATTCTGTCTCGTTTACTAAAGTTCCACTTATCCCATGTGAAAAACTAACCGGATCAGGGCTCGTGCTGTCGAGATGTGGTTTCACGGTCAAGGATATGAAGAGCATCTAACCACCCAATTGAGTGACGTTGCAGCCGCCAAATCGCTAAATGGAAGAAAACTGATGCCTCTTTGTGTATTGTGGTGGTTTTTCATAGCACCTAACCTCCAAGCGCAGTACCAAGCATTCTCCACTTGTTATGAGGTGTGGCAAAAGGCCAAGAAAGTCTTTTCCAACGACGATCATTCTCTATACAGTGTCATCCACAAACTTAACACACTGAAGTTGGAAAATATGGATGTGCAAGCTTATCTGAGTAAGCTTGATGTCTTGAAAACAAGTTACGCAACCCTCATGCCTTACGCAAAAGATGCAATAGCTCATGCCGAACACCAAAGTAAATATTTCATGGTCATGGCACTTAAAGGACTATCATCAGAACTCGAATCTGTTCGTAACCAGATTTTATCAGGTACTACTGTTCCTAACTATGATACAGTTAGTGAACAATTGTTGCGCTTGGCTACACCTCATGCGTTTGGCCCGGTTTCTCCTCCATCTATTGCTATTCCAACACCAGGTGATACTGCTGCTCTTGCATCTCTTGGCAACAATCAGAATCGCCTTCGAGGAGGGTCATCCAACTCCAAACCTCGTCCTAAGTGTGACCATTGTAACCAGCTTGGACATACTATCGATCGTTGTTGGAAGTTGCATGGCAAACCTCCACGGCAGGTAAATGCAACTCAAATTGATAACCCAGACACTATGCAGACTTCACCTTCTCTTCAAAACCCTATGCCAAGCTACGAGGATTTTCTCAGGTGGTGTCAGACTAACCAGACCTCTGGTGTCACGGCTTC